AGCCATTTATTTATTTATCGATAATTACTGAGGGCCTATTATATGCCAGGAACTATGCCATATGCTAGAGAATCAACAATGAGCAGGAACATAAGGATATAAGGAGCTTTTTGGGGTGCTATAGACCAAATGTCTGTGTTCCCCCAAAATTCATATGTTAAATCCTAACACGCAATGTAATGGTATGTGGAAGCAAAGACTGGGAAATGATTAGATCATGAGGGCAGAGGCCTCATGAGTGGGGTTAGTTTCCTTACAAAAGAGGCCCCAGAGAGCATGCTTCCACCATGTGGAAGGGACACAGCAAGAAAATGGCTATTTATGCACTAGGACATGGGCCCTCACCAGATACTGAATCTGCTAGTGCCTTGATCCCGGACTTGCCAGCCTCCAGAACTGTGAGAAATAACTTTCTGTTGTTGATAAGCCACCCAATCTACAGTATTTATGCTATAGCAGCCCAAACTAAGACATGAGGGGAAAAACAAATAAACAAGTAAAATGTATAGCATGTCAGATGGTGATAAGAGCTTCTAAGAAAATAAAGCAGGAAAAGAGTATAGATAGTGTCCAAAGAGAAGTTTAGCGAGCCCCACTTCAGAGTCACCTATTGGGATGACATTTAAGATAATATCTGAAGAAGAGAGGGGCATAAGCAGGAAGTCCTCCAGGCAGAGGAAAAAGCATGGGAGGAAGGAGCATACAGGTGTGTTCCCTGATAGTCAGGCAGCCAGTGTAGCTAAGCTGAGAGGACGAGAGGAAGGATGGGAGATATGAGGTCAGAGACAGAACTGGGCCTGTATGGCCTTGTGGGCCACAATAAGGAGTCTGGCTTTTGTCTGAAAGCGAGATCTGACTAATATTGACTTAAATTTTAAAAGATCACTCTGGCTACTATACATAGAAGGAGACAAGAAGCAGGAAGATCCATCAGGAAACTATTACAAGAGTCTAGTAAAATTCAGACAGGAATATATTTTGAAATACAGTCAACAGGATTTAGAGACAGACAGTAAGCAGGGTATGAGGGAAAGAATGAATTCAAGTGTTACCCCAATTTCTAATCTAAGCAACTGGAGGATGAAGGAGACAGGTATTAAAAGCAGAAGACTATGAGAGGGGTAGGTGTTAGCTGAGGGTAAAGGTGGAGGTGGGGATTAGACATTCAGTTTGAGGTATCTATTAGATATTCAAGTGGAAAAGCAAGTTAAATAAATGAACCTAGAATTCCGGGAGAGATTTAACATATAAATTTGCCAGTGACATATAAATGGTAGATAGCCATGAAATTAGATGAGATCGCTTAAGACAAAGATATCTTCATTATAGCATTTTAAGAGGGTGTAAGTAAAAATTTTGAAAAAGTCTTCTGGAATAGATTGATAGCGCAAATGCAGCAAGCTATTCAGTCCTGCACATACCCACACCCTTTACAATATTACTGTGCAGCTCCTCCCTTCAAGAGGTGGAACTGAGATCTGGCCTTGTGACTCACAAGGGCCAAAAGAATATGGTGGAAATGATGGTTGTCAGTTCCAAGTCTCTGCCTCAAGAGGCCCGGTGTACTTCTGCTCATTCTCTTGGAATGAGCCTAGCCCACTGGAAGATAAGAAACCATACAAAACAGAATGAGCCACCCCAGCTGAGATCACCCTAGACCAGATGCCAGCTGATCCAGCAGCTAACTGCAGGCACAAACACAGCCCAGCTGAAACCAGCCCAAATTGCCTACCCACAGAATCATGACATAAACAAGTGACTGTGGTCTTAGCCACTAAATTTTACTGTAGTTTATGTATGAATACCATTACATCTCCTTTTCCCCCATTTAAAGGTATAAATGGAAGAGGTAATTCTCAGCTATGATATATAAAGTCTTTACACTCCTGATGTATGAAGTCCAGTGAAAGTAGCATCCACTTCAGACAACTTGTAGTTCCAAGAATAAACCATGTTGTCCTCTATCTCCTAAATCCTGAAATGTATCCTATTCTACCATTAAACCACAGCACAAGGCATACTTCTTCCGGAAAACCTTCCTTCATACTGATACTCCAGGGTAATTGAAATAGTCTTTTGTGTTCCCATAACACTCCTGCACATATATCACTGCAGTAAGATTGATCTGTTTATGTGTTTGCCTACTCCCCATAAAAGTGTAAACAACTTGAAAAGATTTTAGCCACATTTATATTTCTAGGACCTAACAATGCCTGACATGCACTAGATGCTCAATAAATACCTAATGAATGAATGAATTACTAAATAATTTTGTTTCTTTTTCTAAATCAAATCAAAAGCAGATGACTGGACTCATTTAAAAATATTAAAGAATAAACACAAATCTTATTTAAGTTATAAACATAATATTTCTTTGGCTCATTCTATGAAATACTTATCCAAGGACTGCTAACCTACTTTGGAAAAAAAAGATCAAATAGTTTGTTGAAAATACTAACAACCATATCATAAAAAGTACAGCACTCACCTATGACATGATTATCTATGTGGAAAATCACAAAGAATCAACCAAAAAACTCTTGGAACTGAAAAGTGACTATAGCTAGATAATAGGATACAAGGTTAATATATAAAAGTAACTACTTTCCTATACACCATCAACGAACAGCTGAAATTTGAAGTTAAAAATACAATACCATTTACAATAGCACCCCAAAAATGTAATACTTAGGTATAAATTTAGCAAAACATGTACAGGATCCAGGTATGAAAAACTATAAAACTCTGATGAAAGAAATCAAGAAAGATCTAAATAAATGGAGAAATATTGTATTTGTGGATTAGAAAACTCAGTATTGTTAAGATACCAATTTTTCCCAAGTTGATCTATAGATTCAATGCCATCCCAATCAAAATCTCAGCAAGCTATTTTGTAGATATCAAAAAACTGATTTTAAAGTTTATATGAAAAGGCAAAAGACCCAGACTAGCCAAGTTGGAGGACTCACACCACCTGACTTTAAAACTTACTATAAAGCTTACAAATAACCAAGACAGTGTGGTACTGGTAAAAGAATAGACACACAGACCAACAGAACAGAATACAGAGCCCAGAAACAGGCCCACAAATACGTCAACTGATCTGTGATGAAGGAGCAAAGGCAATTCAATAAAGGATAGTCTTTTCAACAAATGGTGCTTGGAACAATAGGACATCTATGTGCAAAAACACGAATCTAGAGACATCTTACATCTTTCACAAAATTAACTCTAAATGTAAAATGCAAAACTACTAAACTTCTAGAAGAAATCATATGAGAAAATCTAGGTGACCCTGGGTTTGATGAGTTTTAGATACAATATCAAAAGCATAATCTATTAAAGAAAAAAATGATAACTCAAACTTTATGAAAAATTAAACACGTCTATTCTCCAAAAGACACTGTTAAAAGAATGAAAGCACAAGCCACTGACTGGAATAAAATATTTTCAAAACAAATATCTGGTAAAAGATTTGTATCTAAATTATACAAAAAAAAAAAAATGAGCAAAAGATTTCAACAGATACCTCACCAAAGAAGACATACAGATGGCAAATAAGCATATGAAAAGATGCTCAATATCTTCATCATTAAAACATTACAAATTAAAACAACAATGAAATACTACTATAAGATTACTAAAAATCCAAGAAAACGAAAATACCAGATGCTGGCAAAAATGCAGAATAATAGGAGTTCTCATTCATTGCTATTTGGAATGAATAACTGGTAGACACTTTGAAAGACAGTTTGGTGGGTTCTTGCAAAGGTGAAGTACCATGAAATCCAGCTAGTATTAATATTTATCCAACTAATTTGAAAACTTGTATGTACACAAAAACCTGCATACAGATGTTTATAGTAGCTTTATTTACA